CTGGCAACTCAGCGTAAATGAACGACATGAAAATATGAATATAACACATTTCCATGACTTTTCCAAAACTTTTGGGATTATATTTTTTTCAAGCACTTTTCCAGGCCTGGAAATAACCATTTTTAAATTCCATGACTTTTCCAGGTTTTCCATGACTGTACGAACCCTGATTTAATAATGGTGTGTGTGTGTGTGTGTGTTACAGGTGGGGACTCATACCAGCAGCTCTGATAACATCAGTCAGTTTTCAGTCGACAGCATCACAAGTCTGGAGAGCAAAGAGCCGGTTTTCATCGCCGCCGGAGACATCAGGTAAATGTATATTTATATATCACACACATACTGCAACACTTCTGATCAAAAGTATTATTGGTTTTATATCATAACTACAAACAAGTTTAACTAAACTCAAGACTAAAACTCTAAAATTAGCAGGTGGAGGACGTACTTTACTTAAATAGAAGTAGTACTGCTTTAGTGTAGAAATATCATTGAAGTGAAAATGGTATCGGCATCAAAATATAGTTCAAAGAAGAACCAAAAGTAAAGTTTCTCATGAAGCAGAATAATGATTATTAATATTGATGACTTTATATTCTGCTGGTAGTTTAATCTATAATGATATTATATTATGTTTTAATTATCTGAATCTGTAAAGCGAGTCATCAGATAAACGTAATGCAGTAAAAAGTACAATATTTACTTTGTAGAAGTATATAGTAACATAGAAATACTCAAGTGAAGTAAAAGTACCTGAAAAATTGTACTTTAGTACAGTAGTTGAGTAAATGTATCAAGTTAGTTTTTCACTATAATTTCCACCATCCACCTTGTTGTTCTGTCGGTTCTCCGTCGGTTTGGGTTCTGCAGACGTCGTCTGTCGGAGAACCTCGCTCACACGCCAACGACGTTCCGCAGAGATCCCGAAGACCCGTCAGCTGTGGCCCTCAAGGAACCCTGGGAGGAGAAAGTCAGGTGAGTCCAGAAGAACCGCACCACTGGTAACTCATATAAATATACATAAATACACACACGTGGACAGAATAGTTGGTTCCCTTCCGTTAAAGAAAGAAAAACCCACAATGGTCACTGAAATAACTTGAAACTGACAAAAGTAATAATAAATAAAAGCTGCAAGCAGCGATGTGCGGGCCCTCGCACCTTCCTGTGTCTCGCGGGAGTTTAACGTATTTTTCCCGCTGGACTGTATGATGTAGTGCAAATATTCCACCAGCTCCTGTATCCACTATGTGGTGCTAGCTAACGCGCACAAACATGCATTGTGTTGGTCTACATCAAGTATAGACCACATCATGTAAATGTCATATAAATCGGATTCAGTTTGTCACATAACGCTGTCTTCCTGTTGCCAGTAGGTGGCGCTATGACTTTGAGTGTAAATTGGCTTGTAGAAATCCTCAGGCCATGACTGTTATCAAGTATGGCAAGTTTGGGATATATTTGAGCAAGTCCAGTGGAGTTACATCAGCTTGTTGTTTAATGGTGAATCACCTACAATGGCCGCCACGTCACGGCTACGCCATTCTATCAAACGTAAAGCTTTGAGTAACTTTTAATCACAAAGGTCTTTAGATTGTAATGACCAACTTTGAAGTGGATCTGACAAAGTCCCTTGGAGGAGTTCGTTAAAGTGAGCGAGCGGTGAACAGCTGTTTGTGTGGCGTCTCTTCCGTCTCTTCCTGTTTCCTTCACCTACATTCCCCTGGGTCCTAAGTCCCTCCTTGTACAGCTTCTTATCACCCTCTATGTACCAACGTACATTTATAACAAATACCACACATATTACGGTAATCAGCGTTGCATCATTCCCAAGAAGACTCATGGCTGTACTAGCTCAAAAGGGTGCTTCTACTCACTACTGAGCAAAGGGTCTGAATACTTATGACCATGTGATATTTCAGTTTTTCTTTTTTAATAAATTTGCAAAAATTTCTACATTTCTGTTTTTTTTCTGTCAAGATGGGGTGCTGAGTGTACATTAATGACAAATAAAATGAACTTTTTGATTTTAGCAAATGGCTGCAATGAAACAAAGAGTGAAAAAATTAAAGGGGTCTGAATACTTTCCGTACCCACTGTACATATATATATCTATCTCTCTGTCTCTATCTGTCATAAATGTATGTATGTATGTATAAACATGTGTTTCCTGCAGGAGGATCAGAGAAGGTTCTCCGTACGGTCACCTGCTGAACTGGCGGCTGCTGTCCGTCATCGTGAAGTGTGGAGACGACCTGAGACAAGAGCTGCTGGCCTATCAGGTCCTCCGACAGCTGCAGGTACCGACTCACCTGTAGTAGTAGTAGTACTGCAACTTCAGGATCACACAGTACCAGGAAGTATTTCCTCTGGAAGATGAAGGATTTGTCCTGTAGCTTTTATCTGACTTCTGTTCCACTATATGAAATATTATGTCGTATTATTGTGTAATTTAAGTCAAAGCTGTTTTAAGTTTGCAGTAAATGAAACGGAGTATTTGTACTTTTACTGTGAAGTTACTGCATTCTGGCTTTTTGTTGGTTCTGTAGGAATATTCATTTTAATGAAGTGACATTTGACTTATATTCAGTTTATTTATTAAATAAGACGATAAACTCCTGCTTAAGGGAGCTAGCTTAGCATAAGGTTAGCCGGCTAAACAGATCTCAGTATCTGTTATCTCATTATTTGACTCATGTGATTTGTTGGTTGCGTTACATTTAAATCTTCTTAAATGTAGTACATCTTTAAATGTTATGTATATTAATATTAATGTACTCGGACAGAAAGAAACTTCAAATGATAATCAAACGAGCTGTATCTGCAGTTTTTAGGTATTTTGTGGATACAATGATTATTTTGTATTCTATATATTTTAGTATAAAAACATAACATTTAAGCACAACAACCTTTAATCACAGTTCCTGTTTTTGTAGCGATCATGTAGATTATGTGTCGATCGTGTGTCGATCGCGCGTCGATTATGTATAGATCAGCTGATCGGTGACCTCGTTGTGTTTCAGTCCATCTGGCAGCAGGAGAGAGTTCCTCTGTGGATCAAACCGTACAAGATCCTGGTGATGTCATCAGACAGCGGGATGATCGAACCAGTGCTGAACGCCGTGTCTCTGCACCAGGTAACAAGTACAAGTACTCGGAGTACTTCAGTATCAATGTGAGGTACTTGTACTGTACTTGAGTCTTTATGCTCCTCTGCATTTACTAATCCTAAGCGTCGCTTGGTTTCCTCCTTCAGGTGCGTAAACAGAGTCAGCTGTCGCTGCTCGACTACTTCCTGCAGGAACACGGCAGCTTCACCACCGAAGCTTTCCTCACCGCGCAGAGGAACTTCGTCCAGAGCTGCGCCGGATACAGTCTCATCTGTTACCTGCTGCAGGTGAAAGACAGGTGAGACACACACAGTCTTTGTGCTAAGCTAGGCTAACAGTCCTGTAGCTCTCTCTTACATCTCACTGATGTGTGCAGACATAACGGGAACATCCTGCTGGACTCTGAAGGTCACATCATCCACATCGACTTCGGCTTCATCCTCTCAAGTTCTCCTCGTAACCTCGGCTTCGAGACGTCTGCCTTCAAACTCACCTCAGAGTTTGTGGATGTGAGTAAATGTGACGTCTTCTCAGTGTTGTCGGGGGTCTGATGATGGTGATGATGAAGATGATGATGATGGTCATGTTTCAGGTGATGGGCGGTCTGGACGGCGACATGTTTATCTACTACAAGATGTTGATGCTTCAGGGTCTCATCGCTGCCAGGAAACACATGGAGAAGGTTCTTCAGATGGTGGAGATCATGCAGCAAGGTGACAGACGGACGATACTCATTGTAGTATATAATAAAATACTATACTGTCACTTTTTTATTGTTTTATTTGATTTAAATCGACATCTATCACTGCCTTAATTGGCTTTTTGGCTTTTGCTACATTTACCCGGCAAGGTTTCATAAAATAAACACAGAAGATATATTTCTAATAGTTTATTGATAACAAATAATCAGTCTTCAGCCGATCAGTGTAGCAACATCGAGCAGAAAGGTTTCCAAGCAGCATAGTGAAGAGCATGCTTATAGATTGGAGTGATGAGTCACGTTCACACTGCTCTCTGCTGGTCCGGGCTGTTTGACTCTGGACAGCGTTCTCAATCACTCACAGGGCTTCTCTGGTGCACCCAACGTGAGGAGAAACCAAGTTCTCATCATGCTTTGATTACATTATAACAGCTAAAGAGCATGTCGAAAAAAGTCACAGTATAGCATGTCCTTGTTGTCCTCCTGACCTCCTTGTCGTCCTCCTGACCTCCTTGTCGTCCTCCTGACCTCCTTGTCGTCCTCCTGACCACCTTGTCTTCCTCCTGACCTCCATCTCCGCCTCCTGACCTCCTTGTCCTCCGCCTCCTGACCTCCTTGTCCTCCGCCTCCTGACCTCCTTGTCCTCCGCCTCCTGACCTCCTTGTCTTCCTCCTGACCTCCTTGTCTTCCTCCTGACCTCCTTGTCTTCCTCCTGACCTCCATCTCCGCCTCCTGACCTCCTTGTCCTCCGCCTCCTGACCTCCTTGTCCTCCTCCTGACCTCCTTGTCCTCCTCCAGGTTCCCACCTCCCCTGCTTCCACGGCTCCAGCACCATCCGTGGTCTGAAGGAGCGTTTCCACATGTCTCTGACGGAAGAGCAGCTGCAGGTGCTGGTGGAGCAGCTGGTGGACGGATCCATGAGGTCCATCACCACCAAACTCTACGACTCCTTCCAGTACGTCACCAACGGCATCATGTGACCAACGGCGTCATGTGACCAACGGCGTCACGTGACCAACGGCGTCACGTGACCAACGGCGTCACGTGACCAACGGCGTCACGTGACCAACGGCGTCACGTGACCACCGGCGTCACGTGACCACCGGCGTCACGTGACCACCGGCGTCACGTGACCAACGGCTGACGCTGATGTTTGAACTTTGGTCTCTGAAGCTTCTTCCAGTTTGTTTTGAATTTGATGAGACGATCAGCTGATCTCTGATGTGTTGTGTGTGACGTTCATGGGCAGCTGGGAAAGTACAGCGTCTGGGACTTTTCCAGGTCGTTCTTTTTTCCTGTGAAGAAACGTAAGACAGAAACACTAAACAGACGTTTGGTTCATCCTGAGACGCATTAAATAAATCTTCTGTTAGATTCTCCTCGACGTTATTGTGAACCAGCTCAGCTGTCCTTCAGATCATAACTTCATCATTGATGAATTCATTTCTCCAGTTAAACTTTGAAAGGTACAGTTTCACATTTGTGAAAGTTTATTTGGATTTTCAGCTGCTGATCAAACAAAAGAAATCCTAAAATTGAAGTAAATTCTGTTCATTTTCACAAGAAAATGAGCAGAAAAGCTCATAAAAACTAGAATACGCTGCTTCTCTCAGTTAAAAGCATTTTAAAAATGCCAGAAACCGGAGAACTCATCCCATAATTACACGGTAACGGTCTGAAAACATTTACTGCTAGTGAAAATCAATAGTTATCTTATCCTCTGAAAAGCATCTATACCACTAAATTTATATCTTAAAATTCCAATAAATGTGATTTAAGTTTGACAGCAGCTTGAATATTTCAATAAAAAAAACGACGTACGATGGAGAAGAAAACAGAAGGAAATCCGTTTGACAGTCGGTTCCATCGTGAACTTGGTGTTTTCTTTGAGAGTTCCTCTTCCCGTAGAATTCCTTGATGTTTTTCACCAGACATTCATCACAACTGTCTCCGAAGACATTTGAGTTTATCTTTAAAGCTAATTCCTGCAAAAGACTCGAAGGAAGGGAAATATTTAGAATATAGTTTCCTTGTTGATCGTCTCAGCGCCACCTAGAGGCCAAACGTTAGATTTCTCCAATAGAAGTTCATGACGAGAAACCAACGGACTGAATCCCCCGTTAGCGTCAGCTGTACTTTAAGCATGCTAAGTATTAGCACGTCAACTTGCTAACTGTGAGCGTGCATGCTAACGTTGGTGTGCTAAATGCTAACACTCATTTCTCCGGGCTGCATGTAGGCAACAACTTATTGTACCTTTTTAAGAACACTTATACAAACCTGAATCATTTAAATTTTTTTTTACGATGGATCGGCTAATTAGCTCGTTTGATGTCGTTGAGGCAGATTTGTTGGCTCACTTTAACACTACTTGCTAAACGTCCGCGTGATGATAAAAGCAGCTAACGTAGCGTTAGCATGCCGTCAACATTTTGGAATCCAAAAACATAACTTTTTTTTGTATGAGAATGATGTTTTTTGTCAAAAGCAATGTGGTTTGAATTTATCTGCATTGTTTTCATGTGAAGTTGAGATTTAATGGACCTGTTTCTATCTTGAAAAGACTTATTGTGCAGCCTTCTTACATTTTATGATATTTTAAGACTTTTAAAATCAGGATTATAATTTTCACGAAACTTTTCCAGCGTGACGGGTGTCTGGTGAAAAAGCAAAAAAAAATATTGTCAACTCATCAGTTTATTTAATCGGCATGTTTTTTCTCTGAATAATTTGAACTTCCTTTATTTTGTGTATGTGTGTAGATTCAGTTTAAGAAAAGGTCCGAGTTGAATTTCAGAAGAAACCTTTGCTTGATTTTGTTGAGTTTCAGTTCACGACAACAAACAAACTCTCCAGCGTTGAATCAAAGGATCTTAAAGTTGCAGTTGAATATACAAAGACCGATATTCAGTTGCAAGTATTTGAGCAGAGTGAAGAATTGGGACATTTTTATTTTTATTTTTACATGGACGCACACACTCGACACTACTCGACTGATTTCTCTTAAATTAAAATGGCTCCTTTGCAACAGATTTATGCAAGAAGACGTTCCAGTAACTGGATATCTGTTTAACTCTGAGCTGAATGACTGATATCTGCATATTTAATGATCTCCTCCCCGATTGGCCCTTGAGAGATACATTCCTGTCATTAACTCCGGCCATTCAGGAGAAGCGGCTGATTGAGAGCTTGAGACTCTAAATGTTCTATTTTTCTTCATGAGCTCAGTTTCCTGAATATGTGAATGTTTTTTTTAAATATAAGTCGACTAAAACTTTTTTTTTCTCAGTATTGACGAGGAAATGTTGTCTTGTTTGTACTTTAAACACTTATGATGTTGTGACTAATGTTGGTAACACTTTCAACGGCTTTATCCCAGTTCATTACACCTGTGTACGAACATATTGTTTTTACATAACAATACTGAGGTTTTTTTTCCTTCGAGAAGTGAGATTTTTTGTGTACTTGAAATTGCTCTTTAGATTAAAAATGTACGTTTTAGAGGATTCAAGACATTAGCTAGTGCTACCTTAACTGTTAGATTAGTTAGCAACAAGCTACCTGGTCGTTCCTTTACTGTAATTACAACTTCAGCTACAAACGTATAAGACGTAAAAGAACAGAAGCTAGTTAGCTAGCCAGCAGGTTAATTAGCGAGACAATTACTCCACTTTTATAACTACAATTCTATTAAAATTAGCCAAAATGACCAAAAACGACTAAAAAAAAAACCTTTGTTACAGCTTGTTAGCAATAAGTCGCATAAACTTCGTTTTCTACAATCTGCTCGCATCTGCACGAAAATAAAAATAATGTATAGTATTACATTAGACTGGAAAAATAACAGAAAAACATACTTGGCTAGCAATAATTTAACTGAGTCATTGTCATGCTAATGGTTAATGAACAGCCTCGTGGATTTGATTAAAACAACTTTTTTACTGAAAGTTTAATGCTACCTACTAACTAGCTAGCTAACTGTTGTATAAGAGCAGTGACTTTTGTACTATTTACAGTCTTTAGCAGCAACGATAAAATATATTATTCTAACATCATTCATCAGTATTCTCAGACTGTTCTTGTTAGCCATTAGCTTGACAATGACTTAGCTAAAATCATCGCAAGCTTGATTTTTTTCCTCCACAATCTAATGTAATGTCTCTTCTTCTGCCAGGATAATAATTATGATCTATGTTTTATAAGTTATTCGAAGAGCTGAGGCTTGTAGCTAACAAGCACAAGAGTGGAGATGAGCATTGACAAGCTAGCTAGCTAGCTAGCTAGTTAGTGACAAACCTGATCACTAACGAGCTAGCTTCGGAATAAAAATCAAGGTTGTGCCATTTACTGTTATATCTTATTTTAACTATACTTTCAGATTTTATGCATTTGATTTCAGTTTGACTTTATATTTTCTACGAACAAAAGGAACAACCAGTTAGCGTTCACGCATTTAAAAAAATACTAAACCATACAATTGTAAAGATTTCATAAAAGCTTCTCGCTGGGATAAAGCCGGTATTTGGTGTTTTCGTCAACATCTGTAAACTTGTTTTTGTGTGTTTTGACCACTAATGAAGGAGAAGCACAGATCTGTTATTGTAAAAGCAGCATCATGTTACCGTCTGCTACCCGTTAGCCTGCTAACCGTTAGCCCACTGCTCTTATACAACAGTTAGCCCGCTACTTTATACGCCGCTGCGCTTGACAAAGATGCAGCTAAAGTTTACCAAATAAGTAAGTTAAATAGCAAATACTGTTTCTTGTTCTTGTCATTTGTGGATATGTACGTATGTAAATGAGTTCGTTCTCCTGTGAGAAAAGAAATAGATGCCTTGAGATGTACAGAAGGTACAAACTCTTATCAATGCAACCGGAGGAACAAAGAGGTTATAAAGTGCTTTTATATCAGACGTTTGACCTTCAGGGACGAGTTTTTAGACATTAAAACATCTTCCTCTCCAGACGGGAATCATGTTTATTTATATTTCCAAGTTAATTAAAGTCACGTTTGATAAGAAACATTTATGATAGCTAAATAGATTTTTTTTAAATTCAAAGTGCAGAAGTATCTCCAGATGTTTCGTCTCTTATTTCTTTGTTTAAATAAAAAGGCGGGAGAAATCTGGAGAGGAAAAGCTTTTTGTTTGTTGAAACTTGTCCCTGCTACTAAAAACCTTTCATTGCCTTCTTCCTTCTTCATCAGCTTCGAACACGTTCAACAATTTCTATGTGAGAAAGTCTTAAAGTGCATTTATCCTGAATGAAAATGTGTTTTCTGTCTTTTGTGAACGATTCCTGTTTTTAACTTTAGTTAGTAGAAAATATTTAACACAATCCATTAAAGCAGCAGGAGGCTCCATGTTGTCTTAAAGGAGAAACGATGCTAACGATGAGACAAACTGAAGAAAAAACAACCGACATGAAAACATTTTGAAGTTCAGTGTGATTTCTAAAGTTGTAGTAATGGTCTCATAATAAATACATTTAATTAAATCACCTTAAACTAGATTAAATGTAATTGTGTTAAATTGTACGACTGGTCTCTCGTTTTGGTAAATCTGGTAAAAACAAGACATTTGCTCATAATTATGAGACATTTTCAATTAATTGAAATCGTAATTTGATGGTAAAAATCTTTTTAATTATGAAATTATAATTATTTTAGTCAGAATTACGTCAGACAGGTTTTTAAAAGTAATACATTTTCATTTCATAATAAGATTAAATATTTGTCTTAAGATAAAGTTCTGGTTATTACATGTTTTTCCTCATAATTATGAGAAACGTTTTGTGATTACGAGATATTTTAAATAATTCACACAAAGATATTTGACTTGAATATAAAACGTATTTATGTAATTGTTATATTTTCTTATTATTCTGAGACACAAATCTTTTAATTATGAGATCGTCATAGTCAGGACAGAGTTTTTGGGGTCATTTTGAGGAATAAGTCTTATTTTTTGGTAATAATAAAAGTAATAAAATTCACTTCCTGCTAACAGAAAACCAGAACAAAGTTTTCAACCAAATGTTTTTTCTTTAAATATGTTTCATAAATAAAGAGGAACAAGTTTCACTTAACTGTTGTCTCCGTCTCCTCCTCTTCCTCCTCTTCCTCCTCTTCCTCCTCCGGTCAAATCTTTCAGCTCAAGTTGTTTGTTTTGCTGAAGTTTTAAGAAGTCAAGTGTTCGTACTAAACTGCATGAAACTCATTCAATAAACATGAAACATGGTTCTCACAAATACAAGTATTTATATATATATAAATACTTTTATTATATATCTTTCTGTTCTTTAAGCTAAATCTTAACATTTCTCACAATTTTCTGTCATTTTACAGTTAAAATATTGAAACATGCCGATCACAGTTTCTCTAGTTCAGTGATTTTCAACCGCTGACTTTGGAGTGGCCTAGTCAAAGTCCCGACCTGAATCCGATTGAGATGCTGTGGCATGACCTTAAAAAGCCGGTTCATGCTCGAAAACCCTCCAATGTGGCTGAATTACAACAATTCTGCAAAGATGAGTGGGCCAAAATTCCTCTACAGCGCTGTAAAAGACTCATTGCCAGTTATCGCAAACGCTTGATTGCAGTTGTTGCTGCTAAGGGTGGCCCAACCAGTTATTAGGTTTAGGGGGCAATCACTTTTTCACACAGGGCCATGTAGGTTTGGATTTTTTTTCCCCTTAATAATAAAAACCTTCATTTAAAAACTGCATTTTGTTTACTTGTGTTATCTTTGTCTAATATTTAAATTTGTTTGATGATCTGAAACATTTAAGTGTGACAAACATGCAAAAAAATAAGAAATCAGAAAGGGGGCAAACACTTTTTCACACAACTGTATGTGTGTGTGTGTGTTTTATATTATACTGAATATTATGTGATATATTATTATATGATATATATTACTAATACTTTCATAGATTATTACTTGCACTAATACTTTTGTACATCTTAAGAAATCAGCTTGAAGTAATAAATAACATCAATAATATATAAAACGTTTTTTTTTGTTTGAAATTATGTTATAAATGTGCGATAATCTCCTGATGATGTCATTTGAACTTGAGTAAACAACAACAAACAAACGATCGACAGCAGACTGAGTTGGATTTTGTTTTTACTGATAATTCGACATCATGACAAATTAAATACAAGCTTCAACAGACGCGTTTTAAAAACACCGGACGACAACAGGAAGTACCGGCGACGCCCCCGAAAACACAGAGTGATGCATGATGGGAAAGTTTTAATGATTAGAGAAAAAAACAACACTTTTATTATTCAGTTTAAGAGGTCTCACCAGGTCTCCTGAGGACTCCTCAGGTCTCACGAGCACAGGTACAACGTGGTCTCAGTCCAACATGTGCTTTCAGGTCACTTTGTCTGGTTTCACTCCTCAGTTTTGTTCCCGCAGCAGGTTTTAAAAAGTACAGAAGCCCAGAAGAGTCCATCGTAAATGTAACTCGCTGAATAATTAGTTTAAATTATAAGGTTTACATTGTTTTAGGTTTAAGTCATAAATATGAGCGAAGACGAATGTGAATGAAATCAACATTATTTGACTTAGTAACTCAAAATATTGATTCAGGACAAAACTATGACGTGAGTACATTTAGACTTTTTAAAGGCACTCGGTCAACATGTTGCACTTTATATTTCATATTTAAGACTTAATATGAGTCAACATGTTGACTCGGGACAAGACTATAAAACTTGTAAGTATTTTCATGTTTAACATTTCCTCTCTTATTTTCCTGACATCTTCGGGCTTCCATACAAGATGAAGATAATGATAACAACAATCTCTGCAGTGAACAGAAGGATCGAACCTGAGAGACGAGTCGTAATCAGACGTTAATTTATTTTTAAATGTATATCTTGGGATTTTGTTATTAAATATTAATGTTTTTATTAAACTGTTTTGGTGAAGAAGGAAAAACACTTGGCGTAATTAAACCTTTTAATTCATTTAGAATTACATGTAACTACATCAAAGTGAAGTTCTCTTTGCTGTTTGTTTCTCTTATTCTACAAGTCTGTAAATAAACTGAGTTTTGTGTAGTTTAAATACCAATAACCAATAAATCTGATCACATGTTTTAAACACAACAGCTTGAAATCAGATGAGGATTAAATGTAAAACAAATAAAAATAAAAACCTGCTGGAAAACAGAAATGAGTATAAAGCTGAACAGACTCACGTCTGTGTATCTAACGGTTTAAAGTTCGGTAAATATTCGGACATTTAGAAGTGAAACAGGAAGGAGAACTCTTCTGCTGAAACTCGTCACAAGAAGATAAAGATTCAGTTAACGGATTCTTCACCGGGTTCCCTCCTTATGGACAAGATATCGCTCTCTGAGAACGATGCCACTAACAGCTGTAATAACAGAGAACAGCTTCCTTTATAGATCAGTTATAACACCTATATATATATACATATTTGTGTATATAACAGCTTTAATAACAGAACTTCCTTTAAAGATCAGTTATAACACACTATTATTATTATTATTATTAATCATCCTTCAGTCGTTTTAACCGTTTAGATCAATTGGACATTTTATAATATGTATGAATGACTTCATTAACCTTTAAACCTGCAGGATTGATATCTAATTATCTTATTAATGACTAAAGTGACAGGACTTGCCCTCAGTGAGGACGCTCAAACAAACAGCTCGTAGTTTTATTGTTTCAGCTCTAAACTTGTTATCGACGGTTTACAGCCGATCCGTTAAGCTTCAGTGAATCATTTATTGGCCATTAATAAAGCTGTTAGAACTTATTAACCCTTCATTAGACAGTTTACTCCAGACTCCTCTTTCATTCATCACATCTCTACAAACATTAGAATCACGTCTAAAACCAACTGTTCAACAACAAAGCACTGGGGTTTGGCATCGAGCTGAGTGTGTGTGTGTGACCTCCTCCCTCGTGGAGTTTGGTTGGTTGATCATAGATGATGATGATGATGATGATGATGATGATGATGAAGAGTTTATAGGACGACACAGTCTGAGTCCTTCTCTCTCCTCCTGGCTCCGCCCTGCTGTGACCCCTGACCTCTGACCTGGAAACACAGTGACATCATCATCATCACCATCACACAGAAGAGCCTCAAGAATACTGTGTGGTATTTGTACATATTAGTACTTATTAGTATATATTAGTGGTGTAACCCTCACAGTTCGGCACACTTGTGAACCAAAAGTATGTTTTTTACAGTGTAACCATCACAGTGTGTAATAAAGTGTTGCTGCTGCTGTTCCTCTTCAAGTAACAACTTGAAGCCACAACAACAACAACAACAACAACAACAACAACAACAACAAGGTATCACCGCAGCATTGAAGAAAGCGTGTGTGCAGAATGAGACCGGGCTGAAGCTGTCACAGCATCTATTGAGCTCGTTATTGCTGAGACACGAGGACACGAGGACACGAGGACACGAGGACATTCTCCGGTGTGGAAAACAAAGGATTTCTAAATGTGGTTAAAGTGCTCGAGTGTCCTCTCACGCACCACTTCAGGGTGAAGCTGGTTCCTCTGAGCAGTGCAGTTCAGTGTAAACAGTGGAAGCTAGCTCACTGGCTGTTTCTTTCTTTCAGTATTGATCAAAGGACGAGGATATCAACAGACCTCATGTTGCACTTAAACTTAACAGAAGTGAGGATTCTTCAATGTTTTATTTTTATTTCAAATTGGACATCTTCGATATTTTAGTTTGAATGCGAGACTATAGCCCAAAGTTCTTTTCTTTAAGTGTTCTTGAAGTTCTTTAATTAATAAATGGAAAGCAAAGTTATATTTGACTCCTCCCCTTTTCTTAGTTGATCCGAAAAATGATCCGAACCGTGAAGTTTGTGATCCGCTGCACCCCTAATATATATTACTACATACTAGTACTTATTGGTACATATTGGTGCATACTAGTACATATTAGTGCATACTAGTACTTATTAGTGCATACTAGTGCTTATTAGTACATATTAGTGCATACTAGTACTTATTAGTGCATACTAGTACTTATGAGTACATATTAGTGCATACTAGTACTTATTAGTGCATACAAGTACTTATTAGTACATATTAGTGCATACTAGTACTTATTAGTGCATACAAGTACTTATTAGTACATATTAGTGCATACTAGTACTTATTAGTACATATTAGTGCATACTAGTACTTATTAGTGCATACAAGTACTTATTAGTACTTATTAGTGCATACTAGTACTTATTAGTACATATTAGTGCATACTAGTACTTATTAGTGCATACAAGTACTTATTAGTACATATTAGTGCATACAAGTACTTATTAGTACATATTAGTGCATACTAGTACTTATTAGTGCATACAAGTACTTATTAGTACTTATTAGTGCATACTAGTGCTTATTAGTACATATTAGTGCATACTAGTACTTATGAGTACATATTAGTGCATACTAGTACTTATTAGTGCATACTAGTGCATACGAGTACATACTAGTACTCTACCCAGTGTAGTCGTACTTGTTGTGCTGCCTGCAGTGATCCCGGTTGTTGTTGTTGTTGTGGTTGTGGTTGTGGTTGTAGTTGTTGGAGTTGCTGCTGTTGCTGGTATTCCTCCTGTTGGAGCTGTCGGGCCAACTCCAGGTCACTGAGGGGCCCCGGGGCCCCGCCCTGCTGCTGCTGCAGGGACACCGCCACCAGGTAGTCCTAAGACCAACAAAGAAGACCAGTCACCACCAGGTAGTCCTAAGCTCAACAAAGAAGACCAGTCACCACCAGGTAGTCCTGAGACCAACAAAG